CGAGTCTATCCGGTCTGGGGTGTTCGTCATGTAACTCGTCAGGTGTTCGTCTCACCTGATATCCAAGTGCCTCCCATCTATAATGAAATATCCTGAATCATGTTACATCAGCTGGTGTAATGTCCAGGTCCCTTGTGACTGTCCCGGTGTAAGGTGTTATTTGTTGTCCCACAGAGCACCCTCAGCAGACTCCCCCAGCTCTGGGCCCGGGCCCCCACCCGCGATGAGAGGGATAAGGGAGTGGCGAAGGGTAAGGGGTAGGGGGTAAGCAAGTTACACAGGATATGATGCCTCTGGCCTAGCTCGCGTCGGGCCGTGCCCCCACCGCGGGCCCCGGTACACCTCCATCACTGCGGTAGCGAGAGATGTACAAGAACCACGGCGTCCACATCTCTGCGTGCCTGGTTTCCCGACCTGTTAGAGTAGCATATGCTGCTTCTGCTCCTTGGATCTCTTCCACCCTGTGGATCCATTCTTCTTTGGTAGGTATGTCGGTTTGTTTCCAGTGAGCTGGGATGTTGGCTTTGGCGGCATTAAGCAAGTGTCGCAGTATCGATTTCTTATACAAAGATATGGATAATGATGTGATGTGTAGTAATGCCAATTCCGCGTTCCAGTCCGGGAGGTCCCCCAGGATGAGTATGATTGTTTCCTTGATCATTTCCCAGTATGGGGTTATGGCTCCGCATTCCCACCAGATGTGTAGTACCGTTCCGCATGTCTCCTGACACCTCCAACACATCGATGATATTGAGGGAAATATACGATGTAATAAGGTAGGTGTCCTATACCAGAGAGAGATTAGTTTATAGTTCATTTCTTGATAGTAAGAACTCATCGAACTCTTATGCTGCCAGAGCAACGCCGTATCCCATTGCTGTGTCGAAAGGGATTTTCCCAGTTGTTCTTCCCATTGCCGTTTGAACATTGTAACCGCCGTCGTTTGACCGGTCAAGAGGTGTTGATACAGTGCGGAAATAGCATGTTCTATAGTTGTGCCACGATCGCAGAGGGTCTCAAACCACGTGAGATCTCTATGCAGTTTATCCTTGTGTGGTAGTGATTCGTAGAAGTGTTTCAGTTGGAAATATCTGAATCAGAGGAGATGCGTCTGAGGACTGTCCGCTAGCATCGAGGGAAGAGTCCGTAGCCTTCCGCCCTCAAGAGCCTTGTGTATAGGTATATATGTCCCACCCTCTTGCAAAGGCCAGGCTCCCGGGGGAAGTCCCCCACCTATCGCCTCATTATGTGTAAGTGGTATCATCGGGCTGGGAGAGGGAGAGATGTGGTCCTGCTGTCTTACAGACATCCAGCTTAGTAGGGTCTGTAGTGTCAATCCTTCCCTGGTATGATGAGTTGGTGATCGCCTCGAGTGACCCCAAACCTGCGCCTCCAGCGTTGGTCCAATTAGACCTCTATCGAGCTCTACCCATTGTTTAGTTGAAGGTGTCGTGTGCCAATCTAGTATACGTTGCATGCTTGCAGCTTGGTAGTATTTCTTAAAGTCGGGTACTGCTAGACCTCCGTGAATTCTAGGTCGGCACAATATGTCATGTCGGATCCTAGAGCGTCATCCCCGCCAAATAAACTTGAGCACCACCGTTTTCAGGGTGGAAAAGAAAGCCGATGGCAGGGCGAGAGGTATAGTCTGCATGAGGTACAGGATCCTCGGGAGAATATTCATTTTAATTACCGCAACCCTTCCGTGAGTCCTTCTTCTCATAACATGAATTGATTGAAAAATAAATAGCATGGATCCCAAGTTGCCTGTATTATTGGGGAGGTAGCCCTCATTTACCAAGTTGTTTATTTATTTATAAAATATTTTACCAGGAAAGACACATTGAGATTTCTCTAATTTTCAAGTATGTCCTGGGTTTTCTCCTCTCTTACTGCAAAGTTTGTGCAATATTATTAATTGAGTATAGCCTTGAATGCCCCTACCAACCAAATATTAACAAAGATGAGTAAGGATGCTTGCAAATGAAAACTGAAGAATCTGCACACCTTGGTAATACTTTTCTTAAGTATAAAGCAAGAAAGAAACAATGGCTCTATGCCTGTGGATATGTATTGATTCTAAAAAATGTTTTTACGTATGTCTTGAAAAAAAAACTTATAAATACATTGCTATACTTATCATAGAATTTTCAGTACAGTACAATTTTATATATATATATACACTGTTACACATATAATAGATACATACAATACAGTTATACAGGGAGTGCAGAGTTATTAGGCAAGTTGTATTTTTGAGGATTCATTTTATTATTGAACAACAACCATGTTCTCAATGAACCCAAAAAACTCATTAATATCAAAGCTGAATATTTTTGGAAGTAGTTTTTAGTTTGTTTTTAGTTATAGCTATGTTAGGGGGATATCTGTGTGTGCAGGTGACTATTACTGTGCATAATTATTAGGCAACTTAACAAAAAACAAATACATACCCATTTCAATTATTTATTATTACCAGTGAAACCAATATAACATCTCAACATTCACAAATATACATTTCTGACATTCAAAAACAAAACAAAAACAAATCAGTGACCAATATAGCCACCTTTCTTTGCAAGGACACTCAAAAGCCTGCCATCCATGGATTCTGTCAGTGTTTTGATCTGTTCACCATCAACATTGCGTGCAGCAGCAACCACAGCCTCCCAGACACTGTTCAGAGAGGTGTACTGTTTTCCTCCTTGTAAATCTCACATTTGATGATGGACCACAGGTTCTCAATGGGGTTCAGATCAGGTGAACAAGGAGGCCATGTCATTAGATTTTCTTCTTTTATACCCTTTCTTGCCAGCCACGCTGTGGAGTACTTGGACGCGTGTGATGGAGCATTGTCCTGCATGAAAATCATGTTTTTCTTGAAGGATGCAGACTTCTTCCTGTACCACTGCTTGAAGAAGGTGTCTTCCAGGAACTGGCAGTAGGACTGGGAGTTGAGCTTGACTCCATCCTCAACCCGAAAAGGCCCCACAAGCTCATCTTTGATGATACCAGCCCAAACCAGTACTCCACCTCCACCTTGCTGGCGTCTGAGTCGGACTGGAGCTCTCTGCCCTTTACCAATCCAGCCACGGGCCCATCCATCTGGCCCATCAAGACTCACTCTCATTTCATCAGTCCATAAAACCTTAGAAAAATCAGTCTTGAGATATTTCTTGGCCCAGTCTTGACGTTTCAGCTTGTGTGTCTTGTTCAGTGGTGGTCGTCTTTCAGCCTTTCTTACCTTGGCCATGTCTCTGAGTATTGCACACCTTGTGCTTTTGGGCACTCCAGTGATGTTGCAGCTCTGAAATATGGCCAAACTGGTGGCAAGTGGCATTGTGGCAGCTGCACGCTTGACTTTTCTCAATTCATGGGCAGTTATTTTGCGCCTTGGTTTTTCCACACGCTTCTTGCGACCCTGTTGACTATTTTGAATGAAACGCTTGATTGTTCGATGATCACGCTTCAGAAGCTTTGCAATTTTAAGAGTGCTGCATCCCTCTGCAAGATATCTCACTATTTTTGACTTTTCTGAGCCTGTCAAGTCCTTCTTTTGACCCATTTTGCCAAAGGAAAGGAAGTTGCCTAATAATTATGCACACCTGATATAGGATGTTGATGTCATTAGACCACACCCCTTCTCATTACAGAGATGCACATCACCTAATATGCTTAATTGGTAGTAGGCTTTCGAGCCTATACAGCTTGGAGTAAGACAACATGCATAAAGAGGATGATGTGGTCAAAATACTCATTTGCCTAATAATTCTGCACTCCCTGTAGATTAACGATGAGAGCATTTGCTTTTTGTGAGTTAGATGGATAAAGATGTATTCAAGGACTTTAGTCTGGTGGCAGATTTTACATTTTTCATCAGGTTATTGTGAGGGTTGGATAGAGCATCCTCAGCAATGTGAGAGGCAGCGATCTAACAAAGACATACGGAGAGGAAGAGGCGTATTATCGGACCTTAAATTGGCCGGGCTAATGTAAAGGTAGAACTGTGAAGTTACATGACTAGATTTGCAGAACAGGAGAAGAACAAAATACAAAAAATATAAAACACACAATGCCATACACAGGTAGGTAACAGAAACACAGAAAACCAAGGAGTAGTTGAGGCAAGCAAGGGTTAGAAGCATGGAGAAAAGTAATGGCAGTGCCAAGCCAGGGACTGGTAGAAGGTAGGGATGTGCATGGGCAAAAAATTCGGTTCAGTTGTTCCTGAAATTCGGCACTTCGGCACTTTGGCAATTCTGTTTGGTTAAGGACTTCAGGACTTCAGCAATTCCCTAACACCTAACCCCTAAACCCTAACACTGTCTTTGGAATGTGTTGTTCACAAAACTATTCCCAACCAGAAGATGTTGATAAAGCATCGAGACTGCTTAAGCCACAACCTTATGTTACACCCCCTGCAAGGCCTCAAGTAGGGGTTCTAAGGACATGGCAAAAAGCATCAGAGAGAGAGGGCAACCCTGATGCGTCCCATTGTGAATACTAAAATCTGCTGTTAAAGCTCCATTCACCATCACCAAAGCATGTGGTTTACTATATAGTGCAGACACCCAACTGAGCAATCTCATACCCTATCACATACTCTTCAGCATAGCCATCATATAGGGCCAGTCAACGTGGTCAAAAACCTTCTCGGCATCAGCTGACAACAAGAGCATGCATTGTTTCATTTCTCTAGCATGATGTTGTATAGCAAAGAATTTCAAAGTGCTATCTTGTGCTTCACGCCCAGGAATAAAACTTGTCTGGTCCGCATGGATCAAATGTGGCAAAACAGACTGTAGTCTAGTTGCCAGGACCTTCGTGAAGAGTTTGGCCTCCACATTGAGTAATGAGATTGGGTGTAAGCTGCCAGAGTGTTCGGGGCCCATTCCTGGCTTAAGCAGGACCGCAATTGTAGCTGCTAGCGATTCCGCTCCAAACTCCCCCGCATTCGCTACAGCATTCAGGGCTTTTGTCAACTCCGGTATAAGCTCTGCTTATAGTAACCAGCTGAAAAACCCATCAGGGCCAGGTGCTTTGCCGACTTTAGTCCCCTTCAGGGCAGCAGACATCTCTTCTTCAGTGATCCGACCATCCAGTGCCTCTGCGGCTGCAGGAGATGCGGTTTTCATAGCAAACGTCTGCAAGTAGTTGTCAATCAATACGGATCTATTCGTGTCCAAGTAATTCGGCTCGTGCAAGTTGTACAAGGAATGGTAGAAGGACTGAAATTCATCAGCGATGTCATTCGGGAAGGGTGATGTCCTCGCCGTAGACAGTCTCAATTTACGGACCTGTGTACGTGGCAGTGTTCCTCTCAATAAACGTGCAAGTAACTTACCCCCTTTGTTTGCATGGGCATAAAAGAAACCTTTAGATTTTTGAAGCGATCGAAGATGTCGATGTGTGATAATTTCCATCCGGTGGCGTCTGGCTTACAATAAATTCCCTGTAAACTTCCACTGTTTGCGTCCTTTTGTGTTGTGACTCCAATCGCAAAATGGTATTGTAGAGTTCAGTCATCTGCCGAAGTACCTTTTTTATGTAATTTAAAAAAAAAAAATTTTTTTTAGTAGACTCTATGCAAACTACGAATTACGCTCTTGTGGGCTTCCCAGATCGAGATGGGAGATGTGTCAGCTTTTTCATTGTCTTGAAAGTATAGTTCCAAGGCCTGTTTGAGTTGCTCCCTGACTGCAGGATCCATAATAAATGACTTATTGAGCTGTCACGTTCAGGTGGAAGGCCGGAATAACAGGGATTCGAGTGATATTTGGACTGGGCCATGATCTGACCACGTTGACGGTCTCAGAAGGTGGGATAAACCTTCTTGTCGAATGAATACATAATCGACAAGGGAATACAGTGCCTTGCAAAAGTATTCGCCCCCCTTGACTTTTTACCTATTTTGTTACATTACAGCCTTAAGTTCAATGTTTTATTAATCTGAATTTTATGTGATGGATCAGAACACAATAGTCTAAGTTGGTGAAGTGAAATAAGAAAAATATATACATAAAACTATTTTTTAGAAATAGAAAACAGAAAATTGGCATGTGCAACCAATTACCTTCAGAAGTCACATAATTAGTGAAATTATGTCCACCTGTGTGCAATCTAAGTGTCACATGATCTGTCATTACATATACACACCTTTTTTAAAAGGCCCCACAGGCTGAAACACCTAAGCAAGAGGCACCACTAACCAAACACTGCCATGAAGACCAAGGAACTCTCCAAACAAGTAAGGGACAATGTTGTTGAGAAGTACAAGTCACGGTTAGGTTATAAAAAAATATCCAAATCTTTGATGATCCCCAGGAGCACCATCAAATCTATCATAACCAAATGGAAAGAACATGGCACAAGAGCAAACCTGCCAAGAGATGGCCGCCCACCAAACTCACGGACCGGGCAAGGAGGGCATTAATCAGAGAGGCAGCACAGAGACCTAAGGTAACCCTGAAAGAGCTGCAGAGTTCCACAGCAGAGACTGGAGTATCTGTACATAGGACGACAATAAGCTGTATGCTCCATAGAGTTGGGCTTTATGGCAGAGTGGCCAGAAAAAAGCCATTACTTTCAGCAAAAAAACAAAATGGCACTTTTGAGTTTGTGAAAAGGCATGTGGGAGACTCCCAATATGTATGGAGGAAGGTGCTCTGGTCTGATGAGACTAAAATTGAACTTTTAGGCCTTTAAAGAAAACGCTATGTCTGGCGCAAACCCAACACATCACATCACCCAAAGAACACCATCCCCACAGTGAAACATGGTGGTGGCAGCATCATGCTGTGGGGATGTTTTTCAGCAGCCGGGACTGGGAAACTGGTCAGAGTTGAGGGAAAGATGGATGGACAGGGATATTCTTGAGCAAAACCTGTACCACTCTGTGCGTGATTTGTGGCTAGGATGGAGGTTCACCTTCCAGCAGGACAATGACCCAAAACACACTGCTAAAGCAAGACTTGAGTGGTTTAAGGGGAAACATGTAAATGTGTTGGAATGGCTTGGACAAAGCCCAGACCTCAATCCAATAGAAAATCTGTGTTCAGACTTAAAGATTGCTATTCACAAGTGCAAACCATCCAACTTGAAGGAGCTGGAGTAGTTTTGCAAGCTCATAGAGATTTATCCAAACTTGACTTGGAGCTGTGATTGCTGCAAAAGGGGGTGAATAGTTATGCACATTGACTTTTTCTGTTATTTTGTTGTTTGCGTCACAATAAAAAAAAAAAAACATCTTCAAAGTTGTGGGCATGTTCTGTAAATTAAATGATGCAAATCCTCAAACAATTCATGTTAATTCCAGGTTGTGGGGCAACAAAACATGAAAAATGCCAAGGGTGGTGAATACTTTTGCAAGACACTAATGAAGTGGTCTGGGTGCCAGGTCCAGCTAGGGTGAACCCATTTTTTAATAAACATAGCAGTTTCAGAGAAACTTCTATGTTTATTAATGGGTTAAGCCTTCCCCCTAATCCTCTAGTGGCTGTCTCATTGACAGCCACTAGAGGCGCTTGCGTGCTTCTCACTGTGATTTTCACAGTGAGAGCACGCCAGCGTCCATAGGAAAGCATTATAAATGCTTTCCTATGCGACCGGCTGAATGCGCGCAGCTCTTGCCGCGCGTGCGCATTCAGCGACGGGGCGGAACGGAGGAGGAGAGAAGGAGGAGAGCTCTCCACCCAGCGCTGGAAAAAGGTAAGTTTTTACCCCTTTCCCCTTTCCAGAGCCGGGCGGGAGGGGTCCCTGAGGGTGGGGGCACCCTCAGGGCACTATAGTGCCAGGAAAACGAGTATGTTTTCCTGGCACTATAGTGGTCCTTTAATAATGTGTATAGTCCTTAACGTCTGGATGGAGAGATCTCCAGCAATCTGCCAGTCTCATATCTCCCAGAGTTTTACAAATAGAACGTATATGCAATTGAGAAATGCGGCTATGTCCAGAGGAAGAGTCAAGTAGTGGATCAAGAGGAGCATTAAAGTCCCCCCACAATCAGGTTTCCCTCTGAAAAACCCTCCAATTTAACCATTCTTCTCCTGATGAATTTTGCCTGTCTACAGTGGGGAACATATATGGAAGTGAATGTGTGTATCAATAATTCCTTTCAAGAAAAGAAACCTGCCTTCCTGATCATTCATATGCTCAAGTTCCCAGAATTGCAAGTCTGCAGCAAATAGAATAGCTACACCAGCCATAAGGGTCGAAGGGTGATTACAAAAGTAATTAGTCGTGTAGCATCAGTCATGAAGGTCCGCGCCCTCCATAAAATAAGTTTCCTGTAATAGCGCCACCGTCGTGCAATCTTTCTTCAGAACCCTCAACAAGTGCAACCTGTGTTCTGGAATATTAAGGCCCCCGCAGTTCATGGTAAGGACAGACAGGGGAGCCGGGCGATAAGTCATGACCACATGCTGTTTGGGTCCAAAAGCACACAGAGAACACCACGCAAAGTCACTCTCTCCCACACTCACTGGATAATTTATTTATTTATCAAATATTTTATGAGGAAGGATATATTGAGATTTCTCTTGTTTTCAAGTATGTCCTAGGCCCACAAACATTGTATTGTTAAAACAGGGTACAGTATACTGTAATATAAAAAATGCAAAGTAATATTAAAATACAAAGTATAATATCAAAACTACAAAGTAATATTAAAATACACAAATACATGTAGTAAAACAAAATATGTGCACAGTATGGAGGCAAGTGAATAATAAAACTCAAACACCTAAAAAGTGGTATCCCCTACACCACTTAAAAACACATAATTATATATACATATAAAAGGTGGAACTCTTCAGTGATAATTCAGCAGATATTCTGCAAAACAAAATTGTACAAGAAATAGTGCAATACAACGATAAAAAGTTTAAATAATAAAAGAGCGATGTCACTCAGAAGCCTAGAGTCATACCCTCATATGACTCAGATAGTATGTGCCCCTGGACCATTTGAGGATGTCCAAATCCTTTTTTTTATCAAAGTGATCAGTGTTTTCCTTCTCACTCTTGACCGGCTCCAAATTTTAAAGATGCCAGGTTGAAGAGATTTCTTTCAAAGAAGTACTTTATTAATCCAAGTGAAAATCAAAACATAAAATAAATAAATTAATACCAGATCAATGTCTGGATAGGCTGTGTAGTCAATAACAGAAGTCTAAAACGCGTTTCGCTTTGTAAAAAGGCTTCCTCAGTTGGCTGTCATATAGTTCGTCTCTCTCTTCCGCTTTCTAAATAGCCCGCTCACCGGTTTCAGTCCTTGTGTTTTCCACTTCCGGGTTGCGCCTAATGGAAGGCAACATGCGTTCCAGCGTTCTTAATCGTTAGGCTGTGTATATGTATATATACATGCTAACACATTTGGAGCATCAAAATATTGTATTTTTATCATTGATTGATCATAAGAATAACTTTGGAACGCAAGTTCGTCCCATACATAGGTTTGGATTGTGCTATATCAATAAAGTTTGATGAAATTGTCAGCCGAAACGTCCTAACCCAAAGTGGAATAACGATTGAGAACGCTATTTAACCTTTGGGAATGCTGGGGGGGAAGGCGGTTCTCTACCTCCCTGGGGGTGCAGTGGCTGCTGGGCGAGCGGCGTTGGCGGGCGGCTGGAGAGGGAGCACTTCCCCTGAGCACTCTGCTCAGCTCCCTCGCGCGCCTCAGAGTGAGGCTGGGAGCCGGACTATGACGTCATATTCCGCCTCCCAGCCTCACTCTGCGGCGCGCGAGGGAGCTAAGCAGAGTGCTGGGTGGAAGTGCTCCCTCGCCAGCCGCCCACCCAGGCCAGCATGTTAGTTAGCCGCAAGGCTAACATGGCATTTGCCCTGGGCATTTGGGGGCGGCTTTTTTTGCCGCCCCCTGGAAAATGCCGCCGAAGGCAAATGCCTTGTTTGCCTCGTGGCTAAAACATCCCTGCTTGTGAGTCACATCGCTCTTTTATTTTATTACTTAAACTTTTTATTGTTGTATTGCACTATTTCTTGTACAATTTTGTTTTGCAGAATATCTGCTGAATTATTACTTAGGAGCTTCACCTTTTATATGTATGTATAACAAATACATTTAACACAGAACAGGTAAGAAATATAATCAACCATTATTACAGGTGCATTCTGTACTGAGATATGTTGACAGAGATCTCTTAAAGGTTTTTAGTGTGGAGAAAGGTTTAAATGTGTTGGGGAGGTTGTTTCATACTTGCGGTGCTCTGTAGGAAAATGAGGATCGAGTTAATTTCTTTCATAATGCGATATACTTACTAAAGTGCTGTTACTGGATCAGAGATTATACGAGGTGAGAATGACCGTGGAGAGCATTCTACTCAAAAAAGGTGGGAACTTTCCAGAAAAGCTCTTAAACACAGGGTTGGAAAGAAGGGCAGTGCATCTGGATTCAAGTGCTTGCC